TCTGGCATATCTTCTGGCATATCTATCTGGCATATCTTCTGGCATTTTATCTGGCATATCTTCTGGCATTCTATCTGACATGCTATCTGGCGTTCTATCTGGCATATCTTCTGGCATTCTATCTGGCCGTTGAGGTCCAGCGGTGCTCAACGAGATCAGAAGGTCCCAGGTTGAGGTCCAGTGGTGCTCACTGAGCTCGGAAGGTCCCAGGCTGAGCTCCAGCGGTGCTCACTGAGCTCGGAAGGTCCCAGGTTGAGGTCCAGCGGTGCCCACTCCTATCGCATGCCGGCAGTTGAGGTCCAGCAGTGCCCACTGCATGCGGAAGTTGGCGAAGGGTTGGCAAGGCGGACGGCAGTTGAGGTCCAGCAGTGCCCACTGCATGCGGAAGTTGGCGAAGAGTTGGCAAGGCGGAAGTGGACATGGAAGTGGATGCAAAGGTGGTGGAGGAGAAGCTGGAGGAGAGGGAGGAGGAGGAGAACGAGGTGGAGGATGAGGAGGAGGCGGAGGAGGAGAACAACTGTGATAAAATCTAACAACACTCATCTGGCAGGTGGGGAAAAACGTCTACATAGATCAAAAAATGATGAAACCGGATTTGGTTGGACTAGAACCATTCAGGTTCAAATGAAAAAGCAAAGTAAAGACGTCAGCTCAAACATTCGAGCCGCATGTACAACACCAAATACAGAAATTATATCCTGCCGACCCGTTCCATTGCATGCCCAATGCTTTTTCTCAGGATTGTACCATCTGACCCCGTGGCACCTTGTTCAGGATCGGCCGAACGTTGGTGGGCCAATTGCCTGGCGATGGGTTGAAAAAAAAACGAAATGACCCGAGAAATCCAAGGAGTTTTACCGGCCAAATAGTGATGGGAAATTTGGTGCAAAATGGTGATTTCATGGGATGATGGCGTTGCCATAGGGATTTCATGGGATTTCCATATGTGGAGAGATGGAGAGATGAGTTTTGCATGCAAAAAACAGGAGGAAAGCAAGGAAAAGGTCATCTCATATAGCACACCTATAGAAACCGATCAAAAGCCACCATGGCTAAAAGTAGCCTCCAAATGATTCAAATTTTGCTCGAAATGACACGTTTCTCCACTTTTGAGCCCACAAACAAAGACAAAGAACATGTTAAACCGCCCTTCTAAAGTTGCCCGACGTCCGTGGTCATCCAAGAATCCAGGAAACCCAAACCATTAAATGGTATCTGAAATTTGAAACCACTTGATTTTGGTTTGTAGCAAATGGTCGGAAAACGTTAGTAGGCGGGGCAATACCTAAGTCGACAAATATATTCCTCAAACCTTATGAGGAGGTAAAGTATAGAAATTGGTTCACTGCCGTTGGCAACTAAATCCTAATCCTGTAAAACTCAAAGAATTATAACATTATGTAATACTATGCTTGTCAAAGTCCAATCTTTAGGGACATGAACCATTCTCAAAACTACCAGTCGGTCATCATCGACATCATCCCACCTGCGAAGGTGACCTCATAGAGCCTCAGGTATGAAACAATGAGCCCAGCAATGTTCAAAACCCTCATGATCAAACATGAAGGGACATGGGCATATACTGTGGACATACACAGCACCATCCATGAAACACTGGTTGGCTAAGAATGGGATTCCCAGCTCATGGATCATGATAATCCCCAATGTATTGTTTTTTTTACCGGGGCTTCAAACGGTTTGCCCTAGAGCTAGAGGGCGACAACCTACAAAGTGTAGCAAAATTGAAAGATGCTGTTAAAATGAAGGCCCCGTCATGGAGCTGAAAAGTCGGAACAATGTTGAAGGGCTCGGTGCTGAATCTCTTTCTTGGAAAGAGGAAAACATTGCACCCAGGAGCCACAAGGGTAATTCTCAAAATTCCGGCTGACTATTTCACTGTGAGCATGCGCAATTTCATGCAATCTCCCAGGCTGCCGTGTTCACAAAGGCGTGTTGAAGCACAAACGGTTGGTGAAGGGTCGCCAAATATCGAAGACAATGCGTAATGCCCAGAGCTGAAAGTGCTTAGCAAGGAATTTTGCGCACAATCATGATGCCAGAAGCATATGCCCTCCACTTCGTCTAGCCAAATGACGAATGCAAGTCTGCCGGTTTGTCAACATAGACGAAAATGGTGCGTGCCCTCGGAACATGAGAGCAAAGCGGCAACTCTGGAAAGTCCCATGGACTACAATCCAAGAGTTCAATGTTGCAACAAGTTAGCAGAAGGAACCATTGCAGGAAGACCCGCTCAGGGCGCAAGCGCTTTCCAGGAGTCAGGTTCCAGCGCGGTGGTGAAGAAGCCACCTTCCGGCCCATGCGATATCCAGAATCTGACATATTGGGTAGTAGAACAACGCGCCAGTCCTTTGTAGGCGCGCGCCACCACAAGCTTTGTTTGCAATGGAGTTAGGCTCTGACATCGCTTTTTCCCACGCCTGCCATTCGAAGTAGCTCAATACCCAAAGCAATGCATGATCCTTCTGGATATCTAAAAAGG